GATATTTGAGCATCTTGTAGAGTCAAAGAGATGCTTCGTGTTAACTTTTAGAGGAAAGAGGCAGAGCCAGAGTTCACAGAGCAGGCAGCTCAGACTGGACGTCGGAAGACACGCCGAGCTATCCAGCAGCTGGACGCTTGTGACTCTTGCGAGAAGCGAGCCCCCTGGGGTAAAACTTGGCAGGCAGACACGGCGCGGTCGGCGTCCTGCCCGACTCCTGGATGTGACTTCCCCGGTGATTGGGGGCTGGGGGCTGGGGCCCCGTGGATCTGCGGCTCTCACCACGGTCACGTGATGTTGTTCAAGTAGGAAGTTCCCAGCCCTTTCTGAAACCTTGGATGTGAGAGAAGTGACCGGTTCTTGGGGCTCCACGTCTGCTTTAACCGCCACGTGTGGGAATTGAGGAGAGGACAGTGGCGTTCTCTGTTGCTCCCTGCCCTCATCACAGGGCTAGACAGTTTCACATTTGCAGTGACCAGGACATCCCGGTTCCATAAACATTATTCTGAACTGGGGAAGGTCTGATTGCCCACCTGCACACAGGCCATTGGCCGGGAGATGGCCTGTTACGGCGTGGAGATGGGCACCCGGCACCCCCATTCTTCGTGCCTTGAGGGGCCGTTTGTGCGTTGGTGATGACAGCAGCTTGGGGCACAGAGGGTTGGTCGTGGGGATTATCCTTTATTGTTTTCCTACTTCTGGGAGCCTGGTTTCTTTTTAGACACAGCATATTTGGAAGTGAGGAGAAGGTAAGAATAGTAGCAAGGTAGGGTCCCCATGAGTTTATGTTTAGGGAATGTAGAAAACTGACATTTTTTTATTATGTATGTAGACAAATATGTTGGCAGAGCAGTGAAAACAAATGAGTTATTAGCAGGTGAGTGGGAAGGCCCTTGTGGCAAATAAATTAGAACTGTGGGCCAACAAGGAGCTTATGATAATGGTGTTTTCTCTGTGGCCACCAGGAAAAAACGCTCTTTACCTTTTAAGTGTCTGCTGACAGCATGGCCCTTCACAAATTACTCTGACTTTAAAAAATTCTGTTTTATATATAGCATAAAATAGGAATTAAAAGTCTTTTTGCTTCTGTTTATCTAAAGAGAAGTCTTCTATTTTGTTTTCCTATTGGGGATTTAAATATTAAAATGTTATTTCTAAGCGTCTGAATAGTTCATCATTAGCCATCTATAATTCATCCCAATTATAAGTTATAATAATTTAATAGAAATAAATTCATAAATATAAATTATAAATTAAATTTTTTAGTGGATTTTTAGGTTGTACAAATATGCTTTCTTAATGAACACAAAAGAAGAGATTGGTTTGGTACAAGTATAGTATCTTCTCTTCCAAGACTTGGAAAACAGTTTCTTTTGAATTGTTGCATGATTGATTTCCAGTGACTTTCTGTGAACAAAAACGTGGTTTTCACAGGCCACAAATTAAGGAGATGTGAGATTTCTGAGGTCAGGTAGGCGGAAACAAAGCATCTCTGAGATGGCTTTCCTCGATCCTATTTTAATGCCATGTTTCTCTCTTAACTGAGAAAAAAAACCTGTGTTGAGTTTTTAAAAATATTTCCCCTTCCAGTGTCTTCACACGTGGTTGTTGAAACGGGTGAAGACTCAACCAAATGGAAGTCTGAGCTTCGGTGGTGAAATCTGCTCACCAGCCACCTCACCCCTGGGGGTTTGCTGAAGGAGAAACGTGGAAATCAAAAGGTCCTGGGCCTGAAGTGTTTCTGTCTTGTTTGTAAATAAAGTCGGGGGTGGTGGCCTGAATGTCTGGCAGTGAAGACAGGAGTGGGTCAGTGGCGATGCACCTGTGTGTGCATCCCTGAGTGAGCGCCTGGGCGGGTGTGTAGAAGGGCAGGAAATGGCTTGTGGTGTGCTTCCAGACTCACCCAAGGCCCCATGCAGACAGCGGGAGGGGGGCTGTGAGGTCTCAGGGGACAGGCGGGAGAGGGGTCGTGCGGTCTCGGTGGGCGGGAGGGGGGCAACGTGGTCTTGGGGGACAGGTGAGAGTGTGATCTTGGGGGACAGGCAGGAGAGGGGTCGTGCGGTCTCAGTGGATGGGCGGGAAGGGGCTGTGTGGTCTCAGGCAGGACTGAGGCACGCTCCCTACCAGAAAGCCGTTTGGCACAGGTAAAACCAAGTTTTCAAACGTGGGTTTGGTCGCGATTTGGGCATTTTGCCAGCGGGTGGTTTTGGAGGCTGAGCCTGCCAGGCAGTGGTGCTGTGCTAGGGGAGTGGGGGTGTCCAGGCGGGCCCCTGGGTGGACCCCAGCACCTCAGGTGTCCTGGGTGAGCCTGAGGACGCGCTCAGAGGAGGGCCTGCACTCAGGGTTCCCCGGGCGTCCGCTCCGTGCTGACTCGTTCAGGTGAGGTCGGCCCACTTCTGTGGATTTCACAGCAGAGATGGTTCTTGAGAGAACACGTGAGCCGTCCCTTCCTTCGTCAGCTTTGTCCAGACAGGTACTGCCCTCAGCAAAGCCATTTTCATTTTTGAAAGTGTTGAGAGCAACGTCGCTTGCACCCTCGTCTGGGGATGTCCTTAGCGCCGTAGACGTGAGGCGTCCCCTACTCCCCTACTTGAGGCTAGAGACTTCCCAGCTGCTGCTCATGTGCCTTTCCAGTCCAGTGGAGCTGGCCTGCTGGGTCTCCCCACCCCCAGCTGCGGGAACCTGAACCCTGGCTCCCGCCTGTCCGCTCCTGTCCACTCGCACCGCTGCTGTCCCAGTAGGCCCCTGGTTCTCAGCCCCCCACCCCGTGAACCACCGCCTGGAGGCTGGCTCAGACCCCCAGCCCCGAAGAACAGAGGCTGTCCGCCCAGCCGAGTTAGAAGCCCTCAGACTCCAGCTCACCCCTGGTGCAGCCCCTTGTACTCTGAGCCCTCCTGTAGAGCTCTGTGGAACTGTGCTTTCTGGTCACTCACAGTAAGACGTTCTGGGGGCCTCGGTGGCTCAGTTGGTTGAGCACCTGACTCTTGATCTCAGCTCGGGTCTTGATCTTGGGGTCGTGAGTTCAGACCCTGCGTCAGGCTCTGCGCTGGTTGTGAAGCCTACTAAAAAAAAAAAAAATTTCTTTTCCATCACTGTATATGAAATGACAAGGTCCTGGCACTACACGCAGAGTAGGAATTTGGGTGCCAGCTTAAGCTTTTCTGTCTCTCTTACTGGACAAAGTCTGTTGGGTTGGGGAGTTAGGCGTGCACTGTAGAAGGAGCTTGCTGACAGCATGACTGATCATAGAACTAGAACAAACACACAAGAGCTCATTTCTCTGTGCACGTGGCTGAAACACCACCTGGAGAGACAGAGAGACGCAGAGAGACGGGGCAGGCGCAGCCCACATCCCCGAGGGAGGAGGCGGACATCAGTGCTGGATTGTCTGTTCTCAGCTTGAAGCCTCCTCCTCACCCAGCTCCTGACAAGAATGTGGTACTTAGTGAATTTCTGCTGCACGCCTCCACCAGGACATTCCTGAAGCATTGTCCTCCCCCCCCCCCCCCCCCCCCCCCCCCCCCCGCAGTCAGTGACAAAAGGCACAGAATTGCATCTGTGAGTTTCTGAGAGGCCTGGCTGTTGTCTCAGCCCAATAAAGGCATGACCAGGGATTGCGTTGTCACGTCCTGAAAATAAATATACGAAAGTAAAGGTCTTCTGATTAAGACATCAGCGCTACACACGTCTTTATTTGTTCCGTCCCAGTATTTTTTAAAAAGTTCGATCGAGAAAATTACAGGGGGCTTTGGTTTTGAAGAACTGAATGGTGTTTTTATAACATCACGAGCTGTACTGCGAATCCTTCATTATGGTTCACTTCTCTGCCCTGTGCACAGAGGGGTGGAAACGGAAGGGTTTTCAGAACGTTCAGAGAATAGATACGAGAAGAACAGCAGAATTTAAACCTGTTAAAGTGTGTATAAAAGGCAGGGTTTGTGTCATAAACACATTTTTCTTCATTCATCACAATGTGTTGTTAGATGTAATTCTTTGATCTGTCAGGACTTCCAGCTGAGTCTGAGAAAAAAGAGGCTCGTTACAACTTGGGTATATAATCTACTGAAAATACACGTTCCTCTTCCCCCTGCTCCAACAATCCCTCCAAACTGCAGTCCATTCATGTGGGATTTCGAGGATGCAGCTCTGAGTGGGAATCAGTAGTTTCTTTGTTCATCACCGTGGCAACAAGCCCGCCTATCCTGAGCGGCTGGTGGATCTCGCAGGCTGATCGCAGGCAGGCTGATCGCAGGCTGGTGCTCTGGGCTCAGTGAGTGAGTTGGTGGCGGAGCAGGCTGGCGCTGCCATCCCCGGCCATGCAGGACCTGCCCCGGCGGGGCTCGGCCCTGCCCTTCCTCAGCGCCTTCCTGCAGGGCCGCCGGCACTCGGCCTCGGACCCTGTCCTGCAGCTGCAGCAGGGCCGCCGGGGCTCCGCCGCCCAGACGCTGTCCTCGTCCTCTCTGCAGGTGATGGTGGCCGTGGCGTCCGTCCGCCGCGCCGACAGGGGCTCAGCGTGCCTCCAGAGAAAAAGTAAAGCTCTTTTCCTTCTTTCAGATCGCCACAGCTTTGAGTGTGAACTGAGACTGCAGGTGGCATGCCGTGTTGAGACCGTCTAGGTTTTGACAGTTAATTCTGCGTTCCGCTTTTTACCGTCTGTTGCACTCAGGGCTTTAGTGGACATGGAATAGGAGATAAAGTGACCGGATGTTTTGTGCTTTTTCACGAAAACATAATTTTTGAAAAAACCCATGCCCTTGTAAAAGATCTGCTTTTACAGTTTCTTCTTCTTCGCCACCAGTGTGACACGTGGAGGTGATCATGTGCGAGCGCCTCTTCTGTGTCGGGAGGTCCTGCTCTTAGAGCACAAGGCAGCGGTTTCACTGTGGCAGAATGAGGGGGTGCGGCAGGAACGTCGTCTCCAATCCTGGAGGGCGTTCTCACGCTACTCTTCCATCTGGAGACTGGGTTGTTTTGAATCTTCCCTTCCGTGTACATTCTAGGAAATCCAGGGCGTCCAACGCCAAAGTACACAAAGGTTGGAGAGCGGCTGCGACATGTGATTCCTGGACACGTGGCCTGCTCCGTGGCGTGTGGCGGCAGAGCTTGCAAGTACGAAAACCCGGCGCGCTGGAGCGAGCAGGAGCAAGCCATTAAGGGGGTCTACTCGTCCTGGTGAGTGGTCCTGGGCACCCGCGCTGGGCGGTGGGGCTGTGCAGCCTGCGGGCCTGGCAGCTCCAGCAGCGGTGTGAAACCTCGTTTCCTCGTCGGTGAGATGGAAATAATAAAATCACCCCATAGTGTTTTTTTAAGCAAGTGAAATGACGTGTGTAAAGTATCTTAAAGAAATGGTGGCCGGGGAGGTCTTACATGTCAGAAGTTACTGGAAATAATGGATTCGGCTCTAAGTTTGAGAAGTTACAAGGTGCGTGTGTGGTTTCCTGGTCTGACGCAGGTACCGTTGGCCTCCTGTTTGCTCCTGTCTGCCGCGTGAAAGGGCGCGCGTGGGTGCACACGCTGCCCATCTGCCTCAGTGGGGAGCCGTGCGCCATGTAGGCTCAGGATGGCGTAAGGCACACGCCTCGTGCGAAGTACGGGATGTGGCTCGCTCAGCATTCGGTCATACCGCTTTCTGTTCTTAACAGTAAACTGTCAAGTATGCCTGTTTTGATGTAGTGATACCTCTGAAAACGTATGGTAATCAAGCCACATCATGTCTGAAACCCACTAAGAGTTCACCATTTAAAGAACTCTAGCAGGGAGTCATTTCTTGCAGTGGGAATCCCGCTTCCAGGTCAGACGTTTGTCGACCCGCTTACCTGACTGCACCCGCGCTCTTGCGTCCTGGGCTTGCTGGTATGCGTGTGGTGGTGGAATTGGGTCGGCTGTCCCCACTGTTCCCCACAGATCGCATTCCAGCCTGAGGAGTGTTGTGAGAAAGCAAACAATGTTCCTGAGATGTGGTTGGACCCTAAATTTCTAATAATGCAGCTCGAGGCCACATTAATATTTTTGTTTCACTGTTGACTAAGCCATCTGAGTCTTTCACCTCTGATGCTTTCATGGTCCTTCTGTCCTCGCCTTGGTCTAACTACTGCTGAATTTGGGGGGTCCCCGTTAAATGTCAGGACTCGCCCTGGGGGAGAGTTGCGGTATCCTTCTGGACCCTGATCAGCTCAGCCGACGTCTCTGTTACTGCTCAGGTTCATGTGGCCCACAGCCCCCAATGGACGGCCCGGTGTTTCTCACTAGAGCCCTAAGCAGGATCCGCTGTCTGTCGGGCCTCTGTCCATTCGTACATTCCATAAAAGTCCATTCGTCTACAGGCCAGGCGCTCTGCTAGACACTGTCACATTATAATGTCATCTTCATGAAGCGCTGGAAAAGTAGACATTGTTAATGTCCTTTTAGTGATGAGAGGATTGAGTCCGGAGCAACTAAGTAATCTACTACTTAGCTAGAAAGCAGAAAAGCCAGCGTTTGAAACCAGACCCGGCTGACCCCAAAGCCCAGATGTTTCGCTAAATCACAATAAGTCGGCATTTATTCATAACCACTCGCCAGGATTTGTGCTAAAGACTTTACACCCACACCTTGTCGAATTGTCGTGCCAACCCCACGAGGCAGGTGTTATCCCTGCCTCACACAACGGGTGACTGGGGGGGCAGAATTGCCTTTGATGCCCGATGAGGTGGCTCTGTCACGTCTGCTAGAATCTCATGAGAGTCCTTGAAAACACTCTGCTGCAGTCCACAAATACTTTACGTCCTGGAATTTTTTCCAGGCTTCCAGGGTCTCTTAGAGCCCTAATTGTGATGCAAAATTGAAGCCAGAGCTGTATAAGAAAATTGTTCTACAACTGTTGAAATCGTAGAAAAAACAGGGACTTGATAACTCGTTCTCTCAGTACTTAGAGCTAGAACGTTCCAGGTTTTGTGCATCTCACCAGCCCCGTCCTCCCACCTCAGGGTCACTGACAACATCTTGGCCATGGCTCGCCCGTCCACTGAGCTCCTCGAGAAGTACTGCATCATCGAGCAGTTCCGAAGGTAAATGCTACACGCTGACACACTTCGATAAGCCAGCTCGCGTCTTCTTGTCTGTCACTTTTGACTTCAAATAGTCAAAGAGTAGGCAGTGAAGGGCTTCTTTCAACTAGGAAGTTAAGGTTTTGAGAGTTATTAGTAATGTTTATTAATGCCAAAAGATGGTTGATTTTTTTAAAACTCTAGCTCTCAATATGGTAACTTCTTTCTTTTCTCCGGTAAGCCATGGCATAAAAACAATCATCAACCTGCAGCGCCCTGGGGAGCATGCCAGCTGCGGGAACCCCCTGGAACAAGAAAGTGGCTTCACGTATCTTCCTGAAGCTTTCATGGAGGCTGGCAGTAAGTCCCCCACTTCCCCCCCGTGAGTTACCAAGGACAGCACCCAGGCTTTCGCCCACTCTGCTCTTGGGTCAGAGGGTGATGGAATGAACGAACGCTTACTGTAGGCTCCCAACGGGGGAGATGAGCTGATTGATTCTAGATAATGCGACCATTCTTCTCTGGCGTTGCTGTTGAAAGTACAGGATTTCTTTTGTCCTGTGCGAGCGATCTTGGGACGAGCCCTGTAGAAACAAAGCGTGCATGAATTGCCATCATAGTGCGCCAGACCTGTCCTACCCATCCGTCCCATCCCGTGGTACTGCTCTCTGTTCTGACTCAGACCACACGGCTTACTCATGGCAACGGGACTGGAACACAGCACTCACTCATGCTGTTACTGAAGCCCGACTCTGCCCCTGGGTGGTACTCAGGGGTTCTTTACTGGGCAGTCCCAGGAGCCCAAGTCCGGCAGCCTAGGGATGGGGTCACTCAACACGTGCCATTCTCACCAGGCTGGAAAGGACCAGCCCAGGCCACTTTGGGGACTTGTTTCTAAGAAGCGTGTGCCTCGCTTTTTTGTCTCCACTAGGTGGAAAATCTGTATGCACCCAGCTTGTGCCACTTGCCAGTCCTTTAAACGCATTTCCACGCTTGAACAAGATGGCGTGCTGTCCTTCTGTGGCTGAGTAATTTGGGTGAAGGTCGTGGCCTTTATTAATCTGCAGTCCTGTTTCTCCTTAATTGTTTCTGGCTGAGTTTTAGCAGGAAACGTCTTGAGTAATAGAGAATGTGCTTTGTAAGAAATGCAAACAGTGAATTTACCGGAAATATAAAGAACCTATTATTTTAGCCTCCGCATGCGGTGCAGCCAGCCTGCCTCACAGCTGTGCGCTTTTCACGAATCCACGCGCTTCCTTCACACGGCTGCTCACGTACTGTCCTTTATGTTGATTTTTCTTCTCTGTTCTCTGTTTCATTGTCCAGTCTATTTCTACAATTTCGGATGGAAGGATTACGGTGTGGCATCGCTTACCACTGTCTTAGACATGGTGAAGGTGACGACATTTGCCTTACAGGAAGGGAAAGTAGCCATCCATTGTCATGCAGGGCTTGGTCGAACAGGTAAATTCTAGGAAGTGGACTTACTGTCTTAGAGCATATCTAAACCTGGACAGAGCGATGCTTCCTAATACGAGGAGAGAAGAGAAGTAGTTTTCAGAATCCTGTCGGAGTTTTGGATTCAAATGAAAGAACCCACTGAAAGAAATTTGAACTATCTTTGGAAAAGACAGTTTCAGTGACCATTTATTTGTGAGAGTATTTTTGAAAGACCTAGGACTGAAAACTCATCATATTTAGTAAACAGATGGGTTTCCACGGCTCACTAAATGATCCGTCTGGTTTTTCTTCTTCAAAGGAAAAAAAAAAAACCCAACACTTTAATAGTTAATGTATTTTAAAAATGGCATTTTCCTTAACCTAAGTAATGAGAATAGAAAGCATTGTTTTATTTGGTGTGCTCTAGGCATTTTACACTTTTGTTTTTTTTAAGTCTTGGGCAACAACGTGCACATTGAAGGAGGTTAAGTAGTTTGCTACGCTGAGTAAGTGGCAGAGCCAGGATTTAAATTCAGGGCTGGAAGGATTTGGGTGGTGACGGGAGTCTATCTGTGCTTCAAATTCTATGTAAAAATCAATGATTTTACTTAAAAATGCAGCAAATCTCAGTGTAGTGCTGATACTATTACAAAAGCAAATACCGTAAGGTTAGAATCTTAATTGTAGCCTGGTCCAAGCAGACACCTGAGCTGTGCGCCAGCCCCCGGGTCTCCACGTGCCTGGGAGCATTGGGAGGGCAGGGGCTCTGTCCTGCTTGCTTAACAGACTTGGCGAACCACACGCATGTCTTCTGATTTGCCTTTTATCTTGATATTAGTCAACTGTTATTGTTGGATTAATTGATCAATTATCACCAGTATGTTATTCATTTTAATTTGATATTAATTAATGCAAATGTATAATGTTTGTAATGTTAAGTTTGTTTTCTTTAATAACAAGTACTTACAGAATAAAGTTATATCTTGGTTTGGAGAAAAGTACTATTAGTATAAACGAAAAGTCCAGAAATAGACTGAATATGAATAATAATCCCCAGGCAAAAAATACCCAGAAAGGAAAAATGCCAGGCTGGGGATGTGGCAACAACTGATGGCAAAGCTGGCAGGGGTGGGAAGGAAGTGTGCAGGGAGGGGTGATAACGGAGGGATTGTGGTCCAGCCTCTGATCCTCCTGTTCCCCAGCCCCACGGGGACCACATCAAATCCACGGTCTGCTTTCTGCTCTGAACACCCTTAAAATATCCCATCCAGTCAGTCCACACACCTTGGTGGACCTTCCCCTCACATCTCCCTCATCCCCTCTCACTTCCTTGTCCCCCTCACCACAGTCTCCCTCATCCCCCCACCACACTCCCCCTCGTCCCCCCATCCCCTCACCACACTCCCCTTCATCCCCCCATCCCCTCACCACACTCCCCCTCGTCCCCCATCCCCTCGCCACCTCCCCCTCGTCCCCCCATCCCTTGCCACACTTTCTTGGTCCCCCTCACCCCCTCTCACTCCTGCATCCATCCCCATCACCCACACTGTCCTTCTCTGGGTAGAGAGATGACTGGATTCTCAGGGGAAGACGTGACATACAGACAGGGAATAAACACTTGCACAAGAAGTCAGTAAGTTATAGTGGCTCTTAAAATAATTCTTAATATGCTTTCCTAACACATACTCAAATTTTAAATCTTAAGGAGTGATAACTAAACGATAACCTTCTTCATACCAATCTTCTCTTTATCTCTAGGCGTTTTAATAGCATGTTACTTGGTTTTCGCCACGAGAATGACTGCTGACCAAGCAATTATATTTGTTCGGGCGAAGCGACCCAATTCCATACAAACTCGAGGACAGCTCCTCTGTGTAAGGGAATTTACCCAGTTTCTCATCCCTCTCCGCAATATATTCTCTTGCTGTGACCCCAAGGCACACGCCGTTACTTTAGCACAGTATCTGATTCGCCAGCGGCATCTGCTTCACGGTTATGAGGCCCGCCTTCTGAAACACGTACCCAAAATCATCCACCTCGTTTGCAAACTGTTGCTGGATTTAGCTGAGAACAGGCCAGTGGCGACAGAAGAGGTGGCAGAGGGGCCCAGCCTGTGTGCGGAAATCGAAAAGACTGTTTCTGAGGTGATCACCATGCAGCTGGACAAAGAGTTACTGAGGCAGGGCAGTGACGCCTCAGACTCCTTGCCGCCCGCTGCAGTGGCCGTGGATTTTGAGAATCAGGATGTGATTCTTTCCAGCGAACAGCGGGTTGACCCTCTTTGGAAGAGGCGGAATGTTGAGTGCCTTCAGCCCCTGACACCTCTGAAAAGGCGATTCAGCTACAGCGACTCTGACTTAAAGAGGGCTGAGTCACTTCTGGGGCAGGGGGCAGCTCCGTGGACGGGGCCTGCCGCAGCCTTGCTTGGCCATAACCCCAGACAGCAGAAGCCCATAAGCCACTGTCACACCCCCCAGTCTCCACAGCTTGATCTGAGTAAGGAAACGCTGGTCCGAAATACATTCTCTTTCTGGAATCAAGCTAAATTTGGAGGCCTGGAAGGACTCAGGGATGAGGGGTCACCGGGTTTCCATAGGGAGACTGCTGCGAAGGAAGTACAGCGGAGTAGAACCTTCTCCTCGGGGGTTTCGGGTCCCTACAACCCTGGGGATCCAGTGAGACCCAGCTTTGCGGATGTCCCTGGGGAACCGGACCGTTGTCCCCAGCAAGCGCCCCGTCTGTGTGGGGCTCCCTCCGCTCACTGCTCTGAGACTCCCCGCAGCCTCGGGGACCGTGACTTCCTCTGCAAAGTACCCTCCTCGGTTGGACCCACAGCCCAGGAAGGCAAAGACCTGCCTGAGGCCACTGCGCACACTGCTTCGCAGGCCGAACTGAGTGCCGAAGCCAGGAGAGTGCTGGCTGCCAAAGCCCTGGCAGATCTCAGTGAGCTTGCAGAAGAGGAGGGAGTGAAGAGGAAGGTAGAGATGTGGCAGGTACTTCTCCTTCACTTAACTAACGTGTGGGAAGCACTTCGGTCGGGGCCGAAACAGCGTCTTACCAAATTTAAGTGCGACAGGAATCTGAAGACCTGTTTGTGTCACACTTAACTTTGGAACTTGAGGTTTCTCGGTGTCTGTGTGAAAGAACAGGCTCAGCACCTAGTAGGTGCTTGAGTGAGCAGGGCGTGGGTGCTCGTTGACGGGTCGGGCGGGGGGCTTCCTTCTGGCTGGGCCCGTGAGACCTGGCCTGGGGGCCGCTCTGAGCATCTCTAACCTGAACTCAAGTCAGGGAGCTGCACCTGGAGAACCACAGAGAGAGGTTCTTTCCCCGAGTCCCCCACCCACCCGCCCCCCGCGGTGGGGGGGGGGGGGCCGGGGGGTGATCCCACAGAGCAGACGGAAGCAGCCATGGAGTGCCTTTGTGCTGTCACTTTTTCTTGACCTTGGGTCTTTGGGGTCCATTTCTTGGCTTTTAAGTTGGAATGTGAAATTTTAACCCCTTTCTGTGGTGCGCTTTCATTAGAAACACAGTCTTAAATCAGCTGTACTCTTCACCCGGCATGAGCAGCTAGTGTAGACAAAAGGCAGGCCTTCCCACGTAGTTACCAGAAGCTAGTAAACCGCCCATGTGTGGAGCTGACAGGCCCGGCTCCGTGGGATCTAGACTCCTTAGCCCATAATGTCCCACAAATCATTCGCGTAGCTGCTCCTGTGTATTCTAAGTTAATAAGCAAGGCACGTGCACTTTCCAGGAGGGTCGGAACCTTCCTTCCAGGTGCAGAGGTGGGAACTGAGGCAAGGAACCTCGCACCTGCTTACGGCCGTGTCACCGCAGAGCAAGTGCTCGTTGTCATCAGAGCCACGGGTGTTTGCCGAGTGAATACCTAACACACACGGATTTCCCACAACATGAAGTCTTTTCTTTCCGCTCCAAACTGAACAAGCCTTTCGCTCAGTCTGTGGGCCCCTCCTTTACGTGGCCGTGGGTCACAGAGCTCGTGGCGGGACCCCCTCGTGGGCCAGTCCTGCGCGGCTGGACTGTCATGTGAAAGCATTTCCTAGAGGTGAACACAGCCCCTTGGTTTAGATAGGCTTGCCCTCTGTTTCCTTTTCTGGATTTCATCATGGGCCTTTGAGCAATAAGACCAGTTAGTTGAATTCTGTGATTTGGACCACACAGTGCTGCCTGTTCCCTCTCATCTGCTGTTACGTCACCTGCTCTCGCAGGAACCCGTAAGGCAGGGGATACCCCACAGATTCTTTGTTAACTTAACAGTCCTCATGAGTTAAGCATCACAGACCGGGAAATCGAGGGTCACAGGGGTCGGGTCATGTGGCCGAACACAGCTGCGCGGGTGCAGCTCAGAGAACTGCTGTCGTGTCAGAGAACGTGACAACATGACGGCATTTTACTGGGCGAGGCTTTGGTTCGTGCCGTCCCGCCCAGCCTCTGGTCACAACTGCGCACCAGATCTGCCATGCGCGTGATCGGTGGGGAACGGGGTCCCCACAGCCGAACTTCATGGCCTCTTTATGAGATAACGAAGAGGGACCTGGAGCCAGGGGACCCGGCAGCAGCGCGGCAGGAGCCTCACGTCTGGGGTCCAGCCAAACGCGGGGAATGCTGTGTGCCCCCTTCTCACTTCGGGCCTCTGAGCGAGGGCCCCCCTCCCCTGGGCTGCACGTGTGCCCTTTGGGCCTCCAAGGATGGTGAATGAATGCATGTGGCAATTATTATGCATATTACTGTAGCACACACGCACCGTACTGACTGAAACCTAGGTCTGACCCCATCAGGAGTTCAAACTCTTCTTTTCCCCGCTGTGAGGTCAGCGTTCAAAGCCGCCTGCAGTCGTTCGGGGTGTGGGCAAGACTTCGGGTCACTCCCCCCATCGGATCTCAGGACGCGGGCTTGTCCCGTGCTCACATGGGACTCCGGAAGGGAATTGGAAAGAAGCGCATTTGCCCCGCTTGTCGCCTTCTAAGCTCTTTGCTGGGGCCGTCTTGTGGGGTTTACTCGGAGCTCTTCTCACCCAGGGTAACGCAGATGTGCTCTCAGTCACGCTTTTTCCTCTGCCGTTCCGCTTCATTGCGGTGACTATTTCTGCTTTGTTCCAAGCACCCCGAAAAGGAAGGCTCCCTCTCCCTCTTCCTGAACAGTTTCTGTGGTTTCGGGGCGGGGTGCAGAGCTTAGCGCTGAGGCCAACCCTCCCTCTGTGGTTGGGGTGGGGGGGGGGTGGTTCTTGAGCAGACCTTAAGCTAAATCGGCCCAACATGCAGGGCCCCCAGCTTCATAGACCGAAACTGAGGCTCAGAGAGACTCAGTGTCTCAGCCCAGTGTGCCACCTGCTGGTGGGGGCACTGGGAAGGTCCCGATCCACAGCCTGGAGCCCGGGACTGTCACTCGTGGACAGCCTGAGGGCCTTCAAACCTCAGTGGTGCTGCCTCTCTGTCTCTCCCTCTCCCCCTCCCCTCTCCCTTCTCACCCCTCCCTATTCCTTTTCTCCCTCCCCATCCCCTCCCCTCCCTTTCCTCCTCACCTCTCCCTCCTCACCTCTCCCTCTCCCTTTACCCCCTCCCTCCTCCTCTTCCTCACCCCTCCCCCTTTTCTCCCTCCTCTCCTCTTCCCCCTGTCCCTCCCCTCCTCTCACTCTACCTACCCCTTTCCCCTCCCCTCTGTCCCTCTTCCTTCTCTTCCCCTCT